ACACACTACTCAGTATGGTGTTTCGTTTGCTATGTATCAAATAGGAACAGTGGTGTTTTGCGTCGTAATATTTAAATCCTTTTAATTTTCATAGAATAAATTTTATGGAGCAGCGTGGTGTCTGCGATTGACTGAAGGAAATACCTCTGCAAAACGTCGAAAATCACGTGTAGGCACGCATCAAATCAACAAACTAGAAACACAACATGGAACATATAATATTGTTATTTGTTATGGAGTAGGAAAAAGGTACAGTCGATACAAATTACTTTGGAGTGAAACGACTCTTTTGGTTTCGTGACACGCTTCATTTTATGTATCAGATAAAATAATATGACGATGACACTTATGAACATCGGAATGTCAACTGGCTCCGATTGAATCGGCAAAGTTTTTATCGTAATCGGACGTAAAATGTATTAACTTTATACAGAAAAATTTTGAAAGGCCAGAAAGGTTTTACTCTGACACGTCTTGAGAAACCTTTTGTTTGACCATTATTCGGCGATCGATCAGATTTATAGGGCACATTTTTACGCGCCCTAAAAAGTTGTTAGAAGAAAGTAGCGAGTATAAGTTATTTAGTCATACGGCGGCGGGACTTGACTCCCGACTTGACTGAACGCAAAGAGAGCGTTACAATCTAATGGCATACGAGCGACTGCAGGCATCTCATGACATGTCGACTTTGAGATAACTATCAACGGCTTTGAATTCTTTCCATGTGCGAGAAAACAAAAAGTATGCAGACAGGACCAAAGCGGGAATATGTTATGGCGATAATGGCCGATAATCAAGGCACCATCAATTGTGATGAATGGTGAACAAATCTACTCTTTTTGCTGAACATTTTCTGACAGAGAGAAACGGAATTTTTCAGTGGCCTCAAAAAAAGGACTGGGATAAAGTAGCGCCAGAATTCATATTCTGTCGCAATGTAGAGGTCATTGACGATAGTAAGAGTGTGCAAGTGAAAAACTTGACATCAATAAAAAGCAAATTTCGCGCTTTTTGTCGCAAATATTTTGGCGAAGAAAGCACGTAAGTTAGGCTAAGACGTGTATCTATTCTCTGTATTTGGAGTATTTTTGGCGTTTTCTGCGTGCATGTTGCGGAACTGAAGAAGACGCATAGGGCCGGTTAAAAATGAGCCGGTGTTGTAAGTAGCTGAATCTGTCCAGCCCGAATACGTATGAAATGTTCTTTACCATAGTTAAAGTCAGGCATGCACACTTATTTCTAGATTTATTTATCCATTAATAAAGGATTGTCGAGATTCATCGTGGTTGTAACCCAGCGTAACCCGAGACAGTTGTACCTCCGATTTATGATTTTGTTAGCCCGGCATAGCATTATTTGAAAGACTCTGCAAAATATGTTGGCACTTCAATTTTTACCCTTGGTTTATTGAAGTGTTTTTTCTTTTGTTTGTGGGTATGGCAATCTGACAATAATTTTTGTTGCAAGTTTTTAGAAAATTTTAAGGTGCTAAAATCGCAAAGTGGACCTAGAACAATTATGTATAATGCTTTTTGTACCTATATTAATTTACACACTGATTCACGATAAGTCACGGTTTTACTTCCATTAGAATGCTTAATGACTACACGTTTTAATCAATGTGATCTATCGTAGCATATTTCACGCGAATAAAACATTTGATATGAAAAGTTGTTAAAATTCGCGATTGCAGGAGAACAGAGATAAGCCGAAAAATGTTGCCCGCTTGACATTTCAAGCCTGAGTCACGGTTTTCTTATTGTCAGCAAATTCCATGCTCGGAAAAATAAAGTCTAAAATAATATGTAGTATATGTAGTATAATATGTAGTATACTTAAATCATGCTTACTTGAATAAAACAATGTATATACAAAATTGATTAAATGCAAGAATACGGGAATATCAAATAGTGAAGAGAGTACAGCCGGAAAATGTTGATTAGCCGGTTGTTAAAGTTAACGAGAGCAGAAAGAGCTATTGTGTGCGTACCGACTCTCCCACGTAAGACGTCCTTTCATGTGAACATGGAGAATTCCTAGGGAAATCTTTTGCTCTGGGGCAAGTCCAAAAATGAGAGTAGAAAGCGTGGTCCTCGATATTTTTACTTCCGAAAGGTGTCGTAAACGAAAGTCACTTCCGGAATTAAGAGAGACGAGAAAAAAGGCCATTGCTGGACGCGAAAGGATACATACACATCATAATACTTTTTGTGATATATTCTTCTAGATGAAAATGAAGTAACACCTGAGGTAAGCGTTTTATATTATTTTGGGGGGGCATTATAATATGTCGATTCTTAAGAGAACTTTTCGTAAGAAACTTTGAGTTTTCTACTGCACCTTCGAACAGGCTTCTGTTTCCATTACATCGATTTTACACCAGCGGACGTGACGAGAATTAAAGTTGGCGCAAAGGTACCGACTTTGGCGCCAAAACGGAAAACGAAAGTAATTGTTTAATATGAATGGGAAAATGAAAGGGTTTTGTGACAAGCATGACTCAAATAGAGAGTGCGTTTGTTTTGTAATACCGTTTAAAATGTTCAACAAAAAGAGTAGATTTGTTCACCATTCATCACAATTGATGGTGCCTTGATTATCGGCCATTATCGCCATAACATATTCCCGCTTTGGTCCTGTCTGCATACTTTTTGTTTTCTCGCACGTGGAAAGAATTCAAAGCCGTTGATAGTTATCTCAAAGTCGACATGTCATGAGATGCCTGCAGTCGCTCGTATGCCATTAGATTGTAACGCTCTCTTTGCGTTCAGTCAAGTCCCACCGCCGTATGACTAAATAACTTATACTCGCTACTTTCTTCTAACAACTTTTTAGGGCGCGTAAAAATGTGCCCTTTAAATCTGATCGATCGCCGAATAATGGTCAAACAAAAGGTTTCTCAAAACGTGTCAGAGTAAAACCTTTCTGGCCTTTCAAAATTTTTCTGTATAAAAGTTAATACATTTTCCGTATAAATATGTCTCAAAAAGTGATGCTCTTAGTGCAAAATGAAAAACGGAAACGGCGGTTTTTCCTTAGGTGACGTCAAGTTTGCCTTTCTTTTTATTCTAAACAGACTTCATCGTTAAATCAAGGTGAAATAAAGGGAAGTGTAAAGATCGTTTTAACTTAAGAAAGTAAATGTGTGAGTGTACTGTCTAAGAAATTTGCGTGCAGGAATGGGCTGGAATGTCAGCAATTGTCACTTGATAACTGATAAACTTCCTCTGGGCAGTGTTGATTTGTTCTGTTTCCTATTCACAACTATTGTATCACTGACCTATTATCGAGAGATCGTTGGATAGTTGCATGCTTGTTATGAGCTACGCTTCTTCAAAGATCATAAAGTAATTTTCTTGTTCTATTCTTGAACATTCCACTGTTTCGTAGGTGCTGGGTTAAAAAGCCTATCGGTTATTTGAAAACGGTAAAATTTTGACGTTTTTCAAAAACATGATAAATAAACCAAAACGAGTTTTAGATGAGTTCAGGGCAGCTAATGGATCAAATGTGCATGTATGCGTGCAACCTTCCAATATGTACTCGAGAATGATGCACCGACTTGTCATGAAATAGATTTTTACCTCACGGGTCAAATTCACACTTGTGGAATGTAGCTTATTATCCCGTTATTCTCTAACAAACTTGTGATTGGGTATAATGGTTGAAGTATTATTAGCTGTTATTAGCTGTTATCCCGTTATTCACTAACAAGCTTGCCATTGGATCTAATGGGTTTGTTATCTGATAACATTAGACTAGCTCTTAGCCAAAGATAATCTTGATCCTGATTGGCTCTAATAGCTGATAACAGGCAATAACAGCTAACAGCAATTAGTCCCAATTATATTGAACGAGTCCCAATTAAATTGAACGGGTGTTAATGGTGACAACAGTGACAACGGTAACAACAGTGACAACAGTGACAACGGTGACAACGGTGGAAACGACACAACACTGTCAACGGTAACAACATTGACATCGGTGACAACAGTAACAAAGGTGACAACAGTGACAACATTGACAACGGTAAAAACAGCGACAACAGTAATAACAGTGACAACGGTGCTAATGGTAACAACAGTTACAACGGTAATGACATTGACAATGGTGAAAAGAGTAACAATGGTGACAACGGTGATGACGCTCACAACGTTGACAATGGTGACAACGGAGACAATGGTGTCAACAGTGACAACAGTGAGAACTGTGACAACAGTGAAAACGGTGACAACGGTGACAACGGTGAAAACCGTGACAACGGTGGCAACGGTGTCAACAGTGACAACAGTGATAACTGTTACAACAGTAAAAAACGGTAAAAACGGTGACAACGGTGACAACCGTGACAACAGTGAACACTGAGACAACAGTGACAACGGTGACATTAGTGACAACAGTGACAACAGTAACAACAGTGAAAACGGTGACGACAGTGACAACTGTGACAACAGTGACAACAGTGACAATAGTGACAACACTGACAACAGTGACAATAGTGACAACGCTGTCAACAGTAACAACAGTGACAACTGTGACAACAGTGAAAACGGTGACAACGGTGAACACGGTGACAACAGTGAAAACAGTGTCAACAGTGACAACAGTGACAACTGTGAAAACAGTGAAAACGGTGGCAACGGTGACAACACTGACAATGGTGACAACGGTGACAACAGTAACAACAATGACAACTGTGACAAGAGTGAAAAAGGTGACAACAGTGACAACAGTGATAACATCGACAACGGTGACAACAGTGAAAACAGCGCCAACGGTGACAACACTGAGAACGGTGACAACAGTAACAACAGTGACAAAAGTGACAACAGTGACAACGGTAAAAATAGTGACAAAAGTGCCAACAGTGACAACACCGACAACGGTGACAACAGTGAAATGGTGAAAACAGTAACAACAGTGAAAATGCTGACTATGGTGACAACAGTGCCAACGGTGACAACAATGACAACAGTGACAACGGTGATAACAGTGACAACAGTGACAACGGTGACAACTGTGACAACAGTGAAAAATGGAGACAACAGTGACAACCCCGACATCACTGAAAACACTGACAATGGTGACAACGGTGAAAATAGTGTCAACTGTGACAACAGTGAAAACGGTGAGAAGAGTGAAAACAGTAACAACAGTGACAACAATGTCACCAGTGACAACGGTGACAACAGTGACAACAGTGACAACGGTGATAGCAGTGACACCAGTGACAACGGTGACAACGGTGACAATAGGGACATCAGTGACAACTGTGACAACGGTGACAACGATGACAATGGTGACAACGGTGAGAACAGTGACAACGGTGACAACCATGACCACAGTGACAACGGTGACAACAATGACAACAGTGACAACGGTGATAACAGTGACAACAGTGACAACGGTGACAACTGTGACAACAGTGAAAAATGGAGACAACAGTGACAACCCCGACATCACTGAAAACACTGACAATGGTGACAACGGTGAAAATAGTGTCAACTGTGACAACAGTGAAAACGGTGAGAAGAGTGAAAACAGTAACAACAGTGACAACAATGTCACCAGTGACAACGGTGACAACAGTGACAACAGTGACAACGGTGATAGCAGTGACACCAGTGACAACGGTGACAACGGTGACAATAGGGACATCAGTGACAACTGTGACAACGGTGACAACGATGACAATGGTGACAACGGTGAGAACAGTGACAACGGTGACAACCATGACCACAGTGACAACGGTGACAACAATGACAACAGTGACAACGGTGATAACAGTGACAACAGTGACAACGGTGACAACTGTGACAAAAGTGAAAAATGGAGACAACAGTGACAACCCCAACATCACTGAAAACACTGACAATGGTGACAACGGTGAAAATAGTGACAACTGTGACAACAGTGAAAACGGTGAGAAGAGTGAAAACAGTAACAACAATGTCACCAGTGACAATGGTGACATCAGTGACAACAGTGACAACGGTGATAGCAGTGACACCAGTGACAACGGTGACAGCGGTGACTACAGTGACAACGGTGACAACGGTGACAATAGGGACATCAGTGACAACTGTGACAACAGTGACAACGGTGACAACCGTGCCAACAGTGACAACGGTGACAGCCGTGACAAGAGTGACAACGGTGACAACTGTGTCAACGGTGACAACAGTGACAACGGTGACGACAGAGACAACAGGGACAATGGTGACAACGGTGAAAACGGTGTCAACAGTGACACCAGTGACAACTATGACAACAGTGACAATGGTGACACTGGTGTCAACGGTGACAACGGTGACTCTGGTGTCAATGGTGACAACGGTGTCAACGGTGACAACAATGAAAACAGTGACAACGGTGAAATTGGTAAAAATGGAGACAACAGTGACAATGGCGAAAACAGTGACAATAAGGAGAACGGTTTCAACGGTAACAATGGTGACAACGGTGAAAAGAGTGGCAATAGTAAAAAGGAAGGGAACGATGACAACAGTAACAACGGTGACAGGGGTGATGACGGTGACAACGGTTACCACATCGACAACAGTAAAAACATTGACAACAGTGACGACAGCGACAACGGTGCTACAGTGACAATGGTTAAAACAGTGAAAACAGTGTCAACAGTGACAACAGTGACTCCAGTAAGAACGGTGACAATGGCTACAATGGTGACAACCGTGACAACAGTGACAACGGTGGCAATGGTGACAACAGTGACATCAGTGACAACAGTGACAACAGTGACAACGATGACCACATCGACAACAGTAAGAACAGTGACAACAGTGACAACAGTGACAACGGTGACAACAGTGACACCAGTGACAACAGTGACAACAGTGACAACAGTGACAACAGTGACAAAAGTGACAGCGCTACTAAAGTGACGCTGGTGACAACAGTGAAAACGGTGTCAACAGTGACAACAGTGACAACGGTGACAATGGCGACAATGGTGACAACCATGACAACAGTGACAACGGTGGCAAAGGTGACAACAGTGACATCAGTGGAAACTGTGACAACAGTGACAACGGTGAAAACCGTGATAACCATGACAAAAGTGATATTGGTGACAACGGTGTCAACGGTGACAACGGTGAAAACGGTGTTAACAGTGACAACAGTGACAACTCTGACAACACTGACAACGGTGACAACAGTGACAATGGTGACAACCGTGAGAAAAGTGCCAACTGTGACAACGTTGTCAATGCTGACGACAGTGTCACCGCTGTCACTATTGTTACTTTTCTCACCGTTGTCAATGTCATTACCGTTGTAACTGTTGTTACCGTTAGCACCGTTGACACTGTTGTCACTGTTGTCACTGATGTCACTGTTGTGTCTGTTGTCACAGTTGTCACTGTTGTGACTTTTGTGACTGTTGTGACTGTTGTCAATGTTGTCACTGTGGTCAGTGTTGTTACCGTTGTCACTGTTGTCACTGTTGTCACTGTTGTCACTGTTGTTACCGTTGTCACCGTGGTCACCGTTGTCAGTGTTGTCACCATTTTCACTGTCGTCACTGTTTTCACTTTTGTCACGGTTGTCACTGTTGCCACAGTTGTCACTATTGTCGCTGTTGCATCTCTTGTCATTGTTGTCACCATTGGCACCGTTGTAACTGTTGTCACTGTTGTTACTTTTTTTACCGTTGTCACCGTTGTCTCCCTTGTCAGTGTTGTCACCGTTGTCACAGTTGTCACTGTTGTCACTGTTGTCACCACTGTCACCGTTGTCACTGTTGTTACTGTTGTCACTGTTCTTACCATTGTCACCTTTTCCTCCGTTTTCACCAATTTCACCGTTGTCACTGTTTTCACTGTTATCACTGTTGTCACCGTTGTCACTATTGTCACTGTTGTCTCTGTTCTCACTGTTCTAACCACTGTCACCGTTGTCACTGTTGTTGCTTCTGTCACTGTTGTCACCATTGTGACCATTGTCTTCGTTGTCAGTGTTGCCACTGATGTCACTGTCGTCACCGTTGTCACCGTTGTCACTGTTGTCACCATTGTCACATTTGTCCCTGTTGTCACCGTGGTCATTGTGGTCACCGTTGTCACCGTTGTCACTGTTTTCACTGTGGTCACCGTTGTCACTGTTGTCACTGTTCCCACCGTTGTCACCATTGTCACTGTTGTCACCGTTAACACCATTGTCACCGTTGTCACTGTTGTAAAGGTTGTCGCCATTGTCACCGTTGTCACCGTTGTCACCGTTGTCACCGTTGTCACTTTTGTCACAGTTGTCACTGTTGTCAGTGTTGTCACCGTTGTCAACGTTGTCACCGTTGTCACCGTTGTCACTTTTGTCACAGTTGTCACTGTTGTCAGTGTTGACACAGTTTTCACAGTTGTCACCGTTGTCACTGTTTTCTCTCCTTTCACCTTTCTCACTGTTTTCACTGTTGACACCGTTGTCACAGTTGTCACGGTTGTTACTGTTGTTATCGTTTTCACCGTTGTCACTGTTGTCACCGTTCTCACTGTTATTACTGTACTCACTGTTGTTAGCGTTGTCATCGTTGTCACCGTTGTCAGTCTTGTCGTTGACGGTGACAACTGTGACAACAGTGACAATGGTGACAATGGTAACAACAGTGACAACAGTGACAACGGTGAAATTGGTAAAAACGGACACTATGGTGACGACAGTAACAACAGTGTCAACGGTGAAAATGGTGACAACAGTGACAATAGTGAAAACAGTGTCAACGGTGACAACACTGACAACTGTGACAACGGTAACAACTGTGACAACAGTAACAACAGTGACAACAGTTACCACCGTGACAATGGTGACAACAGTGACAACAGTAACCAAAGTTGTAACAGCGACAATAGTGACAACGGTGGCAACAGTGACAACAGTGACAACAGTAACAACAGTGACAAAGGTAACGACATTGACAACGGTGACAACGGTGACAACGGTAACAACAGTGACAACAGTAGCAACAGTGACAACGGTGACAGTGCCGACAACACTTACAACAGTGACAACATTGGCAACAGATTGAATAGTGAGAACGGTGACAACAGTGACAACAGTGACAATGGTGATACTGTTGTCACTTTATTCACTGTTGTCACCGTTGTCACTGGTGTCACTGTTGCGACAGTTGCCACTGTTGTCACTGTTGTCACAGTTGTCACTGTTGCCACAGTTGACACTGTTGTCACCGTTGTCACCATTGTCACCATTGTCACCGTTTTCACTGTTGTCACAGTTGTCACTGTTCTTACTGTTGACACCGTTGTCACCGTTGTCACCGTTGTCAGCGTCATCACCTTTGTCACCATTGTTACTCTTTTCACCGTTGTCAATGTTATTACCGTTGTAACTGTTGTTACCGTTAGCACCGTTGTCACTGTTGTCACTGTTGTCACTGTTTTTACCGTTGTCAATGTTGTCACCGTTGTTACTGGTGTCACCAATGTCAATGTTGTTACCGTTGACACTGTTGTCTCTTTTTCACCGTTGTCACCGTTGTCACTGTCGTCACCATTGTAAGCGTTGACACCTTTGTCACAATTGTCACTGACACCAAGACATCAGAGACAACTGTGACAACAGTGAAAACGGTGACAACAGTTACAACGGTGACAACCGTGACAACAGTGACAACAGTGACAACTGGACAACAGTGACAACGGTGACAATGGTGACAACAGTGACAACAGTGACAATAAGTGCAAGAGTGACAATAGTGACTAAGGTGTCAACGGTGACAGCGGTAACAACAGTGACAACAGTGACAACGGCGACAACGGTTAAAACGAGACAACAGTGTCAACGGTAACAACATTGACATTGGTGACAACAGTAACAACGGTGAGAACAGTGACAACATTGACAACGGTAAAAACAGTGACAACAGTAACAACAGTGACAACGGTGCTAATGGTAACAACAGTTACAATGGTAATGACATTGACAACGGTGAGAAGAGTAACAATGGTGACAACGGTGACGACGCTGACAACGTTGACAATGGTGACAACGGACACAATGGTGTCAACGGTGACAACAGTGAGAACTGTGACAACAGTGAAAACGGTGACAACGGTGACAAAGGTGTCAACAGTGACAACAGTGATAACTGTTACAATAGTGAAAATGGTAACAACGGTGACAGCGGTGACAACCGTGACAACGGTGACAATAGTGACAACACCGACAACAGTGACAAAAGTAACAACAGTGTCAACACCAACAACGGTGACAACGGTAAAAACAGTGAAAAACGGTGACAACAGTGACCACCCAGACAACACTGAAAACACTGACAACGCTGACAACAGTGACAACTGTGACAACAGTGACAACTGTAAAAACAGTGACAACAGTGAAAATGGTGACAACAATGACAACAGTGACAACGGCGACAACAGTGACAACAGTGACATCAGTGACACCAGTGACAATGGTGATAACAATGACAACAGTGACAACAGCGACAATGGTGCTACAATGACAACACAAAAACGGTCCAACAGTGACAACGGTGACACCGGTGAAAAGAGTAAAACGGTGACAACGATGCAACAATGACAACGGTGACAACAGTTACAACGGGGACAAAAGGGACAACAGTGATAACGGTGACAACAGTGACAACGGTGACAACATTGACATCAGTGACAACGATGACAACAGTGAAAATGGTGACAACCGTGATAACAGTGAGAACGGTGACAACAGTGACAATATCAACATCAGTGACAACTGTGACAACAGTGACAACGGTGACAACGGTGTAGACGGTGACAACACTGACAACAGTGACAACAGAGACAACAGTGACAACTGTGACACCGGTGAAAACGGTGTCAACAGTAACAACAGTGACAACTGTGACAACAGTGACAACGGCGACAACAGTGAAAATGGTAACAACCGTGAGACCAGTGACAACGGTGACAGTAGTGTCAATGGTGACAAAGGTGCCAACGGTTACAACAGAAACACTGGTGACACCGGTGGGAACAGTGACAAAAGTGACAACAGGAACAAATGACAACATTGACAACATTGACAACAGTGAGATCAGTGACAATGGTAACCACGGTGACAACGGTGACAACGGTGACCATGGTGACCACGGTGACAACAGTGACAAAGGTGACAACAGTGACAACACTGACAAAGGTGACAACGGTGACAACGGTAACAACACTGACAACAGTAACAACAGTGACAACAGTGACAGTGGTGACAACAGTGACAACAGAGACAACAGTGGCAACAGTGACAATTGTGACAACGGTGACAACAGTGACAAGAGTGACAACAGTGACAAGAGTGACAACTGGACAACAGTGACAACGGTTACAATGGTGACAACAGTGACAACTGTGACAACAGTTGCAACAGTGACAATAGTGACAACGGTGACAACAGTGAAAACGGTGACAACAGTGACAACTGTGACAAAACTGACAACGGTGACAATGGTGACAACAGTGACAAAAGTGACAACAGTGACAACAAGTGCAAGAGTGACAATAGTGACAAAGGTGTCAACGGTTACAATGGTGACAACCGTGACAATGGTAACAACAGTGACAACAGTGACAACGGTGACAACATTGACATCGGTGACAACAGTAACAACGGTGACAACAGTGACAACATTGACAACGGTAAAAACAGTGACAGCAGTAACAACAGTGACAACGGTGCTAATGGTAACAACAGTTACAATGGTAATGACATTGACAACGGTGAGAAGGGTTACAATAATGACAACGGTGACGACCCTGACAACGTTGACAATGGTGACAACGGAGACAATGGTGTCAACAGTGACAACAGTGACAACTGTTACAACAGTGAAAACGCAAACAACGGTGACAACGGTGACAACCGTGAAAATAGTGACAACTGTGACAACAGTGACAACGGTGACAATAGTGACAACAGTGACAACAGTAACAACAGTGAAAACGGTGACGACAGTGACAACTGTGACAACAGTGACAATAGTGACAACACTGACAACAGTGAGAAAAGTGACAACGGTGTCAACAGTGAGAACGGCGGCAACAGTGACGACAGTGAACACCAACAACGGTGACAACGGTAAAAACAGTGAAAAACGGTGACAACAGTGACCACCCCGACAACACTGAAAACACTGACAACGCTGACAATAGTGACAACTGTGAAAACAGTGACAACAGTAAAAATGGTGACAACAATGACAACAGTGACAACGGTGACAACAGTGACAACAGTGACAACAGTGACAACGGTGACAACGGTGACAACAGTGACATTTGTGACAGCGGTGACAACGGTGACAATAGTGACATAGGTGAAAACGGTGACAACGGTGACAACAGTGAGAACAGTCACAACAGTGAAAACAGTGACAACAGTGAGAAAGGTGACGATAGTGACAATAGTGACAATAGTGAAAAAAGTGAAACTGGTGAAAACACCAAAACAGTGACACGGTGACAACGGTGAAATCAGTGACAACGGTGAAAACAGTGACAATAGTGACAACGGTGACAGCAGTGACAATGGTGACGACAGTGACAACAGTGACAATGGTGACAACAGTGAAACTGGTGAAAACACCGACACAGTGACACGGTGACAACGGTAAAATCAGTGGCAATGGTGACAACAGTGACAACAGTGACAACGGTGAGAGCAGTGACAATGGTGACAACAGTGACAACATTGACAATGGTGATAACAGTGAATTTGGTGACAACACTGACAACGGTGATAACGGTGACAACAGTGACAACAGTAACTACAGTAACAACGGTGACAACAGTGAAAATGGTGACGACAGTGACAACAGTGACAACGGTGACAACAGTGAAATTGGTGACAACACTGACAACGGTGACAACGGTGACAACTGTAACAACAGGGACAACAGTGACAACAGTGAAAAATGTGACAACGGTTACAACACTGACATCACCGACAACACCAACAACACTGATAATGGTGACAACAGTAACAACAGTAGACAAGAGTGACAACAGTGACAACGGCGACAACAGTGACGACAGTGACAACACCAACAACGGTGACAACGGTGAAAACAGTGAAAAACGGTGACAACAGTGACCACCCTGACAACACTAAAAACACTGACAACGCTGACAATAGTGACAACTGTGACAACAGCGACAACTGTGACAACAGTGACAACAGTGACAATGGTGACAACAATGACAACAGTTACAACGGTGACAACAGTGACAACATTGACAACGGTGACAACAGTGACACCAGTGACAATGGTGATAACACTGACAACAGTGAGAGCAGTGACAACAGCGACAATGGTGCTACAATGACAACACGACAACTGTTTAACAGTGACAACAGTGAAACTGGTGAAAAGAGTGAAAACGTTGACGACGATGCAACAATGACAACGGTGACAACGGTGACAACAGTGACATTTGTGACAACAGTGAAAACAGTGACAACGGTGACAACAGTGACAATGGTGACGATAGTGACAACAGTGACAATGGTGACAACAGTGAAACTGGTGACAATACCGAAACAATGACACGGTGACAACGGTAAAAACAGTGACAACAGTAACAATATTGACAACAGTAAAAAAAGTGACAACAGTGACAATGGTGACGACAGTGACAACAGTGACAATGGTGACAACAGTGAAACTGGTGACAACACTGACAACGGTAATAACGGTGACAACTGTGAAAACAGTGACAACAGTGACAACAGTAACAACAGTTACAACGGTGACAACAGTGAAAATGGTGACAACTGTGACAACGGTGAAAACGGTGTCAACAGCGACAACAGTGACAACTGTGAGAACAGTGACAGCGATGACAACGGTGACAATGATGACAACCGTGACAACAATAACAACGGTGAGAACAGTGTCAACGCTGACAACAGTAAGAACGGTGAGAACGGTGACAAGAGTGACATCAGTGACAACAGTGACCACAATGACAACAGTGACAACAGTGACAACAGTAACAATGGTGACAACGGTGACAATATTGACATCAGTGACAACTGTCATAACAGTGACAACGGTGACAACGGTGACAACGGTGACAACAGTGTCAAAAGTTGAAAACCATGACAACAGTGACAACGGTGACAACGGTGTAGACAGTAAGAACACTGACAACAGTCACAACTGTGACAACTGTGAAAACGGTGTCAACAGTAACAACAGTGAAACTGGTGACAACACTGACAACAGTAATAACGGTGACAACTGTGAAAACAGTGACAACAGTGACAACAGTAACAACAGTTTCAACGGTGACAACAGTGAAAATGGTGACGACAGTGACAACAGTGACAACGGTGACAACAGTGAAATTGGTGACAACACTGACAACGGTGACAACGGTGACAACTGTAACAACAGGGACAACAGTGACAACAGTGAAAACAGTGACAATGGTTACAACACTGACATGACAAACAACACTGACAACACTGATAACGGTGACAACAGTAACAACTGTGAAAAGAGTGACAACATCAAAACTGGTGAAAACACTGTCAACGGTGACAACAGTGACAACAGTGACAACAGTGACAACAGTGACAGCGTGACAACTGTGACAACGGTGAAAACGGTGTCAACAGCGACAACAGTGACAACTGTGACAACAGTGACAGCGATGACAACGGTGACAATGATGAGAACCGTGAAAACAGTAACAACGGTGAGAACAGTGTCAACCCTGACAACAGTAACAACGGTGAGAACGGTGACAAGAGTGACATCAGTGACAACAGTGACCACAATGACAACAGTGACAACAGTGACAACAGTAACAATGGTGACAACGGTCACAACATTCACATCAGTGACAACGGTGACAACAGTGAAAACGGTGACAACCATGACCACAGTGAGAACGGTGACAACGGTGACAATATTGACATCAGTGACAACTGTCACAACAGTGACAACGGTGACAACGGTGACAACAGTGTCAAAAGTTGAAAACCGTGACAACAGTGACATTGGTGACAACGGTGTAGACAGTAAGAACATTGACAACAGTGACAACAGAGACAACAGTGACAACTGTGACAACTGTGAAAACGGTGTCAACAGTAACAACAGTGACAACTGTGACAACAGTGACAATTGTGACAACAGTGAAAAGGGTAACAACCCTGAGACCAGTGACAACGGTGACGGTACTATCAACGGTGACAACAGTGAAAAGAGTGAAAACGGTGACAATGATGCAACGGTGACAACGGTGACAACGGTGACAACAGTGACCATGGTGAGAAAAGTGATAACAGTAAAAACACCAACAACGGTGACAACAGCAACAACGGTAACAACAGAGACAACAGTGACGACAGTGACAACGGTGATAACAGTGACAGCAGTAAAAACACCGACAATGGCGATAATGGTGACAAAAGTGACAACGGTGACAACGGTGACAACAGTGACAACAGTGACAATAGTGAAAACAGTGATAATGGTGACAAAAGTGACAACGGTGACAACGGTGACAACAGTGACATTAGTAACAACGGTGACAACAGTGGCAACAGTGAAAACGGTGACAACTGTGACAACAGTGACAACGGTGACAAAGGAGACAACGGTGACAACAGTGACATCAGTGACAAAGGTGACAACAGTGACATGAGTGACAATGGCGACAACATTGACATCAGTGACAACAGTGACAACGGTGATAACAGTGACAACAGTGACAACGGTGATAACAGTGACAACAGTGACAACAGTGACAACGGTAACAACAGTGACAACGGTGACAATGCTGACAATGGTAACAAAAGTGACAATGGTGACAGTGGTAACAACAGTGACAACAGTGACAACAGTGGCAACAGTGACAATAGTGACAACAGTGACAACAGTGCCAACAGTGACAATAGTGACAACAGCGGCAACAGTGACAACAGTGACAACAGTGACACCGGTGTCAACAGTGAGAATGGTGACGACAGTGACAACGGTGACAACAGTGAAACTGGTGAAAACACTGGCAACGGTGACAACGGTGACAACTGTAACAACAGGGACAACAGTGACAACAGTGAAAAATGTGACAACGGTTACAACACTGACATCACTGACAACATTAACAACACTGATAATGGTGACAACAGTAACAACAGTAGACAAGAGTGACAACAGTGACAACGGCGACAACAGTGACGACAGTGACAACACCAACAACGGTGACAACGGTGAAAACAGTGAAAAACGGTGACAACAGTGACCACCCCGACAACACTAAAAACACTGACAACGTTGACAATAGTGACAACTGTGACAACAGCGACAACTGTGACAACAGTGACAACAGTGACAATGGTGACAACAATGACAACAGTTACAACGGTGACAACAGTGACAACATTGACAACGGTGACAACAGTGACACCAGTGACAATGGTGATAACACTGACAACAGTGACAGCAGTGACAACAGCGACAATGGTGCTACAATGACAACAGGACAACTGTTTAACAGTGACAACAGTGAAACTGGTGAAAAGAGTGAAAACGGTGACGACGATGCAACACTGACAACGGTGACAACGGTGACAACAGTGACATTTGTGACAACGGTGACAACGGTGACAACAGTGACAACGGTGACAACAGTGACAACAGTGACAACAGTCACAACAGTGAAAACAGTGACAACGGTGACAACAGTGAGAATGGCGACGATAGTGACAACAGTGACAATGGTGACAACAGTGAAACTGGTGACAACACCGACACAATGACACGGTGACAACGGTGAAAACAGTGACAACAGTAACAATATTGACAACAGTAAAAAAAGTGACAACAGTGACAATGGTGACGACAGTGACAACAGTGACAATGGTGACAACAGTGAAACTGGTGACAACACTGACAACGGTAATAACGGTGACAACTGTGAAAACAGTGACAACAGTGACAACAGTAACAACAGTTACAACGGTGACAACAGTGAAAATGGTGACGACAGTGACAACAGTGACAACGGTGACAACAGTGAAATTGGTGACAACACTGACAACGGTGACAACGGTGACAACTGTAACAACAGGGACAGCAGTGACAACAGTGAAAACAGTGACAATGGTTACAACACTGACATCACAAACAAGTAACCCTGACAACAGTGTCAACGGTGACAACGGTAACACCGGTGACACCAGTGGGAACAGTGACAACAGTGACAACAGGAACAAGTGACAACATTGACAACAGTGACAACAGTGAGATCAGTGACAATGTTGACCACGGTGACAACGGTGACAACAGTGACCACGGTGACCACGGTGACCACAGTGACAACAGTGACAAAGGTGACAACGGTGACAACAATGACAACGGTGACAACATTGTTATCACTGACAACACTGACAAAGGTGACAACGGTGACAACGGTAACAACACTGAGAACAGTAACAACAGTGACAACAGTTACAGTGGTGACAACAGTGACAACAGAGACAACAATGGCTACTGTGACAATTGTGACAATGGTGACAACAGTGACAAGAGTGAGCAGTGACAACAGTGACAACAGTGACAACTGGACAACAGTGACAACGGTGACAATGATGACAACAGTGACAAGAGTGACAACAGTGAGAACAGTTGCAACTGTGACAATAGTGACAACGGTGACAACAGTGAAAACGGTGACAACAGTGACAACTGTGACAAAAGTGACAACGGTGACAATGGTGACAGCAGTGACAACAGTGACAGCAATGACAACAAGTGCAAGAGTGACAATAGTGACAAAGGTGTCAACGGTTACAATGGTGACAACGGAAACAACGGTGACAACGGTAACAACAGTGACAACAGTGACAACGGTGACAACGGTGAAAACGAGACAACAGTGTCAACGGTAACAACATTAACATCGGTGACAACAGTAACAACGGTGACAACAGTGACAACATTGACAACGGTAAAAACAGTGACAACAGTAACAACAGTGACAACGGTGCTAATGGTAACAACAGTTACAATGGTAATGACATTGACAACGGTGAGAAGAGTAACAATGGTGACAACGGTGACGACGCTGACAACGTTGATAATGGTGACAACGGACACAATGGTGTCAACGGTGACAACAGTGACAACGGTGACAATAGTGACAACAGTGACAACGGTGACAACAGTGACAACGGTGACAACACTGACAACAGTGAGAAGGGTGACAACGGTAACAACAGGGAAAACAGTGACAACAGTGACAACAGTGACAACGGTGACAACAATGACAACAGTGACAACGGTGATAACAGTGGCAACAGTGACAAAAGTGACAACTGTGACAACAGTGAAAAATGGAGACAACAGTGACAACCCCGACATCTCTGAAAACACTGACAATGGTGACAACGGTGAAAATAGTGACAATTGTGACAAGAGTGAAAACGGTGAGAAGAATGAAAACAGTAACAACAGTGACAACAATATCACCAGTGACAACGGTGACAACAGTGACAACAGTGACAACGGTGATAGCAGTGACACCAGTGACAACGGTGACAACGGTAACAACAGTGACAACGGTGACAACGGTGACAATAGGGACATCAGTGACAACTGTGACAACAGTGACAACGGTGACAACGGTGACAACAGTGACAACGGTGACAACCGTGACAACAGTGACAACGGTGACAACCGTGTCAACGGTGACAACAGTGACAACGGTAACAACAATGACAACAGTGACAACGCTGACAACGGTGACAACGGTGACAACAGTGACAACAGTGACAACAGTGACAGCAGCGAAAACGGTAACAACGAACAAGGGGTTACAGGCGGTTACAAGGGGTTACAGGGGGTTACAAGGGGTTACAAGAGGTTACAAGGGATGACAGGGGGTGACAACGCGTTACAGGGGGGTACAAAGGACTATAGAATACTTTTTTCTAACTAGAACGTTCCCAGATACTTTTTCTTGGTCCATTTTGCATAAAATTCAAAGTTAAAGAAATCTCATTTTTTTGTCCAAAACGATGGATTAACCCCTTTGAAAAAATTCTAATTTTGCGTTTTTCGTACACAGTTGTTTTTATAGTCTTTAAAGGCTTTTTTTTATATACAACGTCAGACACACTTTTTCTTGATCTATTTTTGATAAAAACAAAAGATGAAAAAACTTCAACTTTTTGACCAAAATCATGGACTATCCCCTTTGCAAAAATGCCAATTTTGCCTCCTATTTAAATCCATGTTTATATTGTCTAGAAAGGCTTGTTTTTTAACGAGAACGTCACCAAATACTTTTTCTGGCTGCATTTTGCATAAAACGAAACGTTCACAACATTTCAAATTTTTGACCAAAACCATGGACTAACCCCTTTGCAAAAATGGCAATTTTGTGGGTTTTTGAAACCGATATTTTTTTTGTTCAGAAATGCTTGTTTGCTATATAAAACGTCGAAAAGATTTTTTTCACGGTTTATTTTCACGCTCTATGACATGGGAATAAGAGGGGTTGCAAGAGGTTACAGGGGGTTACAGGGGATTCCAAGGGGTTACAGTTGGTTACAAGAGGTTAAATAACAATTATTCACCGAAGTGGAGGTGGCTAGTCTTGGATATTTACCGAACTGCGAAGCAGTGAGGTAGATATCCACGACTAGCCACCGACACTGAGGTGAATAATTGTTTTAGTATATACTAAAACTGACAATGGTGACGACAGTGACAACAGTGACAATGGTGACAACAGTGAAACTGGTGACAACACTGACAACGGTAATAACGGTGACAACTGTGAAAACAGTGACAACAGTGACAACAGTAACAACAGTTACAAAGGTGACAACAGTGAAAATGGTGACGACAGTGACAACAGTGACAACGGTGACAACAGTGAAATTGGTGACAACACTGACAACGGTGACAACGGTGACAACTGTAACAACAGGGACAGCAGTGACAACAGTGAAAACAGTGACAATGGTTACAACACTGACATCACAAACAAGTAACCCTGACAACAGTGTCAACGGTGACAACGGTAACACCGGTGACACCAGTGGGAACAGTGACAACAGTGACAACAGGAACAAGTGACAACATTGACAACAGTGACAACAGTGAGATCAGTGACAATGTTGACCACGGTGACAACGGTGACAACAGTGACCACGGTGACCACGGTGACCACAGTGACAACAGTGACAAAGGTGACAACGGTGACAACAATGACAACGGTGACAACATTGTTATCACTGACAACACTGACAAAGGTGACAACGGTGACAACGGTAACAACACTGAGAACAGTAACAACAGTGACAACAGTTACAGTGGTGACAACAGTGACAACAGAGACAACAATGGCTACTGTGACAATTGTGACAATGGTGACAACAGTGACAAGAGTGAGCAGTGACAACAGTGACAACAGTGACAACTGGACAACAGTGACAACGGTGACAATGATGACAACAGTGACAAGAGTGACAACAGTGAGAACAGTTGCAACTGTGACAATAGTGACAACGGTGACAACAGTGAAAACGGTGACAACAGTGACAACTGTGACAAAAGTGACAACGGTGACAATGGTGACAGCAGTGACAACAGTGACAGCAATGACAACAAGTGCAAGAGTGACAATAGTGACAAAGGTGTCAACGGTTACAATGGTGACAACGGAAACAACGGTGACAACGGTAACAACAGTGACAACAGTGACAACGGTGACAACGGTGAAAACGAGACAACAGTGTCAACGGTAACAACATTAACATCGGTGACAACAGTAACAACGGTGACAACAGTGACAACATTGACAACGGTAAAAACAGTGACAACAGTAACAACAGTGACAACGGTGCTAATGGTAACAACAGTTACAATGGTAATGACATTGACAACGGTGAGAAGAGTAACAATGGTGACAACGGTGACGACGCTGACAACGTTGATAATGGTGACAACGGACACAATGGTGTCAACGGTGACAACAGTGACAACGGTGACAATAGTGACAACAGTGACAACGGTGACAACAGTGACAACGGTGACAACACTGACAACAGTGAGAAGGGTGACAACGGTAACAACAGGGAAAACAGTGACAACAGTGACAACAGTGACAACGGTGACAACAATGACAACAGTGACAACGGTGATAACAGTGGCAACAGTGACAAAAGTGACAACTGTGACAACAGTGAAAAATGGAGACAACAGTGACAACCCCGACATCTCTGAAAACACTGACAATGGTGACAACGGTGAAAATAGTGACAATTGTGACAAGAGTGAAAACGGTGAGAAGAATGAAAACAGTAACAACAGTGACAACAATATCACCAGTGACAACGGTGACAACAGTGACAACAGTGACAACGGTGATAGCAGTGACACCAGTGACAACGGTGACAACGGTAACAACAGTGACAACGGTGACAACGGTGACAATAGGGACATCAGTGACAACTGTGACAACAGTGACAACGGTGACAACGGTGACAACAGTGACAACGGTGACAACCGTGACAACAGTGACAACGGTGACAACCGTGTCAACGGTGACAACAGTGACAACGGTAACAACAATGACAACAGTGACAACGCTGACAACGGTGACAACGGTGACAACAGTGACAACAGTGACAACAGTGACAGCAGCGAAAACGGTAACAACGAACAAGGGGTTACAGGCGGTTACAAGGGGTTACAGGGGGTTACAAGGGGTTACAAGAGGTTACAAGGGATGACAGGGGGTGACAACGCGTTACAGGGGGGTACAAAGGACTATAGAATACTTTTTTCTAACTAGAACGTTCCCAGATACTTTTTCTTGGTCCATTTTGCATAAAATTCAAAGTTAAAGAAATCTCATTTTTTTGTCCAAAACGATGGATTAACCCCTTTGAAAAAATTCTAATTTTGCGTTTTTCGTACACAGTTGTTTTTATAGTCTTTAAAGGCTTTTTTTTATATACAACGTCAGACACACTTTTTCTTGATCTATTTTTGATAAAAACAAAAGATGAAAAAACTTCAACTTTTTGACCAAAATCATGGACTATCCCCTTTGCAAAAATGCCAATTTTGCCTCCTATTTAAATCCATGTTTATATTGTCTAGAAAGGCTTGTTTTTTAACGAGAACGTCACCAAATACTTTTTCTGGCTGCATTTTGCATAAAACGAAACGTTCACAACATTTCAAATTTTTGACCAAAACCATGGACTAACCCCTTTGCAAAAATGGCAATTTTGTGGGTTTTTGAAACCGATATTTTTTTTGTTCAGAAATGCTTGTTTGCTATATAAAACGTCGAAAAGATTTTTTTCACGGTTTATTTTCACGCTCTATGACATGGGAATAAGAGGGGTTGCAAGAGGTTACAGGGGGTTACAGGGGATTCCAAGGGGTTACAGTTGGTTACAAGAGGTTAAATAACAATTATTCACCGAAGTGGAGGTGGCTAGTCTTGGATATTTACCGAACTGCGAAGCAGTGAGGTAGATATCCACGACTAGCCACCGACACTGAGGTGAATAATTGTTTTAGTATATACTAAAACAGTGAGATAATTGAGCACAAAAATGATGATTTTTAACTCAAATACTGTTGCCTACGATTACAATTTTGGCAAGTAATGACCGGGCGACCGCGGCTGTCGCTTTTTCTTGCCGACAATTAAAACTTTTGAAGGCATTTGTTTAGCTCTTGCGGGGAAATTTCTTCAAAAGGAGTTGTGAATTCTTTTTGTATTTAAAATCATTCTATAAAAAAAGATTATTAAATTTAGTTTTAAGCTTATTTATGAACAAGTCAACTAAATAAAGTAACGCAAGACTTAAATTTACATTTGTAAACAAAAAACTTTTTCACCGGTTTTATCGATAAATTCGTGTCAAAAAGACAAAGCTTTACCTGTTAAAACTTCCAATCCGAACTTCGTCACCTTCTTCGTGTATTTCGGAAACAGCTTGCTTGATTAGTTGTGAAATTTCTTTGTTTGTTTACGGCAGCAAACCGGGAAGGCATTTTGCTCGCAACTTACGCGAGTTTGGCGTCGGTCGCTCGGAGGAACTGGAGGTGAATCAGTGAATAGTGCAGGATATTCACTGATTGAGTAGCCAATCAGAGCGCGCGAAAAACACTATCCACTGTTTTAGTATATACTAAAAGGGGTTACAGGGGGTTACAAGGGGTTACAAGGGATAACAACGGGCGACGAGGCGTTACAGGGGGTACAAAGGATTATAGAATACTTTTTTCTAACTAGAACGTTCCCAGATACTTTTTCTTGGTCTTTTTTGCATAAAAATCGCAGTTGAAGGAATCTCAAAGTTTTGACCAAAACGATGGACTAACCCCTTTGAAAAAAATTTGCATTTTGCGTTTTTCGTACACAGTTGTTTTTGTAGTCTTTAAAGGCTTCCCTTTTATCTAGAACGTCAGCAAACACTTTTTCTCGATCTATTTTTGATAAACACAAAAGATGAAAAAACTTCTATTTTTTGACCAAAATAATGGAGTATCCCCTTTGCAATAATGCCAATTTTGCCTTCTTTTTAAATCCATGTTTATATTGTCTAACAAGGCTTGTTTTCTAACGAGAACGTCACCAAATACTATTTCTGGCTGTATTTTGCATAAAAAGAAACGTTCACAAAATTTCAAATTTTGATAAAAACCATGGACTAACCCATTTGCAAAAACGCCAATTTTTGTGGGTTTTTGAAACCGATATTTTTGTTTGTCAGAAAGGCTTGTTTGCTTAATAAAACGTCTTAAATCGTTTTTTCACGATTTATTTTCACGATCTATGACATGGGAATACAAGGGGTTACAAGGTGTTATAGGGGGTTACAAGGGGTTACAGGGGGTTACAAGGGGTTACAAGGGGTTACAAGGCATAACAAGGGGCAACAAGGTGTTACAGGGGGTACAAAGGATTATAGAATACTTTTTTCTAACTAGAACCTTCCCAGATACTTTTTTTGGTCTATTTTGCATAAAAATCAAAGTTGAAGAAATCTCAAAGTTTTGACCAAAACGATGGACTAACCCCTTTGGAAAAATTCTAATTTTGCGTTTTTCGTACACAGTTGTTTTTATAGTCTTAAAAGGCTTCTTTTTTATCCACAACGTCAGCAAACACTTTTTCTCGACCTATTTTTGATAAACACAAAAGATGAAAAAACTTCAACTTTTTGACCAAAATCATGGACTATCCCCTTTGCAATAATGCCAATTTTGTCTTCTTTTTAAATCCATGTTTATATTGTCTAGAAAGGCTTGTTTTCTAACGAGAACGTCACCAAATACTTTTTCTGGCTGTATATTGCATTAAAAGAAACGTTTAAAAAAATTTCAATTTTTGACCAAAACCATGGACTAACCCCTTTGCAAAAATGCCAATTTTGTGGGTTTTTTAAACCGATATTTTCGTTGTTCAGAAAGGCTTGTTTGCTATATAAAACGTCGAAAATCGTTTTTTCACGATTTATTTTCACGATCTATGACATGGGAATACAAGGGGATACAAGGGGTTACAGGGGGTTACAAGGGGTTACAGGGGGTTACAAGGGGTTACTAGGTGTTACAGGGGGTTACAGTGGGTTACAAGGGGTTACAAGGGATGACAGGGGGTGACAAGGCGTTACAGGGGGTTACAAAGGATTATAGAAACTTTTTCCTAACTAGAACGTTCCCACATTCTTTTTCCTGGTCTATTTTGCATAAAAATCAAAGTTGAAGAAATCTCATATTTTTGACCAAAACGATGGACTAACCCCTTTGGAAAAATTTTAATTTTGCGTTTTTCGTACAAAGTTGTTTTTATAGTTTATAAAGGCTTCCCTTTTATCTAGAACGTCAGCAAAGACGTTTTCTTGATCTATTTTTGATAAACACAAAACATGAAAAATCTTTTATTTTTTGACCAAAATAATGGAGTATCCCCTTTGCAATAATGCCAATTTTGCGTTCTTTTTAAATCCATGTTTATATTGTATAGAAAGGCTTGTTTTCTAACGAGAACGTCACCAAATACTTCTTCTGGCTGTATTTTGCATAAAACGAAACGTTCACAAAATCTCAAATTTTTGACCAAAACCATGGACTAACCCCTTTGCAAAAATGCCAATTTTGTGGGTTTTTGAAACCGATATGTTTGTTCTTCAGAAAGGGTTGTTTGCTATATAAAACATCGAAAATCGTTTTTTCACCATTTATTTTCACGATCTATGACATGGGAATACAAGGGGTTACAGGGGGTTACAACGGGTTACCAGGGGTTACAAGGGGGTTACAAGGGGTTACAAGGCATAACAAGGGGCAGCACGGCGTTACAGGGGGTACAAAAGATTATAGAATACTTTTTACTAACTAGAACGTTCCCAGATACTTTTTTTGGTCTATTTTGCATAAAAATCAAAGTTGAAGAAATGTCAAGTTTTTGACCAAAACGATGAACTAACCCCTTTGGAAAAATTCTAATTTTGCGTTTTTCGTACACAGTTGTTTTTATAGTCTTAAAAGGCTTCTTTTTTATCTAGAACGTCAGCAAACACTTTTTCTCGATCTATTTTTGATAAACACAAAAGATGAAAAAACTTCAACTTTTTGACCAAAATCATGGACTATCCCCTTTGCAAAAATGCCAATTTTGCCTTCTTTTTAAATCCATGTTTATATTGTCTAGAAAGGCTTGTTTTCTAACGAGAACGTCACCAAATACTTTTTCTGGCTGTATTTTGCATAAAGGAAAACGTTCACAAAATTTCCAATTTTTGAGAAAAACCATGGACTAACCCCTTTGCAAAAATGCCAATATTAAGGGTTTTTGAAACCGATATTTTTGTTGTTCAGAAAGGCTTGTTTGCTATATAAAACGTCGAAAATCGTTTTTTCGCGATTTATTTTCACGATCTATGACATGGGAATACAAGGGGTTACAAGGGGTTTGTAACCCCCTTGCAAAAATGCCAATTTTGTGGGTTTATGAAACCGATATTTTTGTTGTTCAGAAATGCTTGTTTGCCATGTAAAACGTCTTAAATCATTTTTTCACGATTTAGTTTCACGATCTATGACATGGGAATACAAGGGGTCACAAGGGGTTACAGGGGGTTAAAAAGGGGTTACCAGGGGTTACAAGGGGGTTACAGGGGGTTACAAGGCATAACAAGGGGCAACAACGCGTTACAGGGGGTACAAAGGATTATAGAATACTTTTTTCTAACTAGAACGTTCCCAGATACTTTTTCTTGGTCTATTTATCATAAAAATCAAAGTTGAAGAAATCTCAAGTTTTTGACCAAAACGATGGACTAACCCCTTTGGAAAAATTCTAATTTTGCGTTTTTCGTACACAGTTGTTTTTATAGTCTTAAAAGGCTTTCAAAAATTCAAATTTTTCACAAAAACCATGGACTAACCCCTTTGCAAAAATGCCAATTTTGTGGGTTTTTTAAAAACGCCATGTAAGACGTTTTACATGGCAAACAAGCATTTCTGAACAACAAAAATATCGGTTTCATAAACCCAAAAAATTGGCATTTTTGCAAAGGGGTTACAAAACCCTTGTAACCCCTTGTATTCCCATGTCATAGATCGTGAAAATAAATCGCTAAAAAACGATTTTCGACGT